TGTTCCCGCTTCTGAGGTCTAGGACGTGAGCAGAGTTACTATCATTCTAATATCCTAATTTTATTAACTGGAACATGGAGGCATTAGAAAGGGTTGTTGACTTTCCACATACATTAATATGTTATCAAGCCACTATGAAAGCTTTTCATATTCAGATATACCCTGTATAAAAACAAATCTTGTGTGTGCGTGGCAGCAATGGTATGCATTCTGATTATGGTAATACAGTATACACTGTTGCTCTAATGTAATTTACTGGTATTCAAATATCATAGCAAGTTATGAATAACACTCTTGAGTCAATATAGACAACATATTAGTAACATATTACTTTTTTTGTCATACAATTTTGTACTGTATTGCAAATTGCAACTCCACTCTGGTTCAGGGGAGCAAATCCACAAGTCAGTCAGTCCACAGCTCATGCCAGTCGACACGTGGGGGAGATGGGATGCACATTGCTCCCAGCATTTTATAACCATTACAATGCTGTACAACTAGTTATGCAGTTTATTGCCTCCCTTACTATATGATTTATAAAAATATATTAAAATATTGTGTTCGATTTACGAGTGCTTAAAAAGGCAAAAAATTATTTACTGTATTATGGGGTTTTGCGTCAGAAATATTTTCCAAGGGAATAACTCTCCCATTATATAATGGGATTCAATAGGAATACAGGGTCTGTTATACAGAAATTCAGTTCAAGGTAAACTTTTTAGAAATGTAACCCCTCTGTAAATTGAGGTCTTCCTGTACTCTAGATACTCGTACTGTATAGTACAGCTGCTCCTCGACTTACGACGGGGTTAGAGACCCAAATCCAGGTCGTAAGTCGAAAATGCTTAAATAATACATAGAAAATCTAAAATGGGTGTCTCTTTTTCTTCTCAGCACCACAAAACTCTCACTTTTAAGCTTGCCAGCCATTTTAAATGAATTACAAACGAAAATTTTATCAGTACACAGCACAATCACTAACGTTGGGACTTGAAAATAGTAATTTGAATTTTTTTTGGTAAGACTGAGGCGGTCGTATGTCTGGGAGGTCGTAGGTCGAGTATGTCGTAAATCAAGGAGTAGCTGTATACTGCACATATGCCACAAAAATTAGTACGTAATCTTATTTCCCCAAAAATATCATAATTCTTTTCTTAAAGTTTGTGGTTTTCCATTCTTTCAAACCTTCCCTTCAAGTTTTCTTCCCATGTGCCTGTTAATCATTCAGCAGAGCCTTTTGTTAAATGGCCATTTAAAGGAGACAGAGAACACTGCTTAACATATGCTTCACAAATGCAACTCTCCATTCAGACATCTATTCTACTGCCAAAAATCATGCGGGACATCAACATTTCTGACAACCCATCTGAAGACTGGGACAAAGAAAACTTCCTCCAGATGCTAATAATATTATTAAGATGTAAATCTTTTAGTCTCAATTTTATGAAGACTTATGTGCAAACTAACTTCTCTTTTCTTTCTTCACTTCTGTGCTATTTGACTCCCCCAAAAGGACTTAAATGAAAATAGTAAATGATCTTCTCAACAATGTTAAATTTCAGTGCTTAAAGATTTCAGCCATCTTGTTAAGGAGAAAGACTTATGACAACAATTCCAGTACCGACTATTTCTGGAATACTGTAATCCTTAGCAGTCTCAAGCACTCACGCACCACAGATCTCCACATCCACAATGGAAAGTAGTGTGTGTGTGTGTGTGTGTGTGTGTGTGTGTGTGTGAGGAGGGGTGGAGACAGCAATCCATAAAACCTCCCCCTCCCATGTCAAGTTCAGATAAAATGCCTTTTGATCATTAATTCAATACTTTTTAATGTCTCTATTTTCTAATATTTTATAACTAACAATTTAATCATACTGCTTAAATATCCAAGTATAGAGCTACCATGCATAAATTATACTATGTATAAACATTTCTTGAAATGAAAAGCAGTACTGTACTCAGTGACACATCATGCTGATACTATTTCTTCATTTAAAAATTTAGATTTGCATGTAATAATAAAGACTGCTCTAAAGGTACACAAGATGCACACCCAAGACCACAATTCTATGTGTTTTCCTCAATCTTCAGCAAACTGTAATAGTGTACATGCATACTCGCATATTTCAATAGCACAATTTCTGGAGCCTTTGCCTGAACTAAGCAAGAGAACATTTTCCCTACAACTGCAGGTTAATCCAGTACAATGATCCTGTGCAGCTAAATTTGAAAACATGATGCATAATCCACCTTCCTAACAGTCAAGCTGAAGAAAAGGTCATCAAATGCATACATCCATTAAGCAGTATATGTACAATCTGATTTTGTGTTGGAAATAAAGTGAAATATTAAGATCATCAATAACACTTCAACAGGTACTATTTTCATACAAAAGTTCCTCCCTGTATCACAAAAATAATAAAAAATAAATAAACCTGTCTAATAACTAGTCACTGCTTGTATAATTAATTATCAAGCCATATCATTAAAGTAACCACCGTGCAATTAAATATTTTTCTGTAATAAAATTTGTGGCAGTCAGAGGCAGCCTTAGGAATCTTAACCAAGGGAATTTTCAATAATTCACTCAGCAAAACCCATCCCTCCTTAACCAGCAGATTGTATCTGAAGATGTAAGAACTTTTAAACAGCCAGCAAAATAGTGAAAAGCAATAGACTCCAATGATCACCTATGTCTAAACACACATTATGTACAGAACAAATTGCGAATCAAATACTGTAACTGCAAAGATTGGCATTAAAACTTTGAAACAACAGTTCAGTATGTGGGGAAAAAAGGGGGGGGGGGGCAAGTCTACTCGCTTAATAAGAGTAAGTTTTATATATACAGTATATACACTGTATATAGTGTATATAGTACAGTATACAGTAGTATATGAAAAGCTAACACAAAGTCAAAAGAGGAACACATGTATAAGCATAATACCAGGGTAATAACAATGAACGACTAAGTGAATACCAGAGAAATATGAGTTACCTATCAAAACAAGTAATAGAAAAGTAGAGAGAGAAAAAGGTGCGCTCTTAAATTTAAGGAAGCGTTATTACAGTACTTGTTATTCAAGACGGTGTAATTTCAAAGTCAATAATGAGCGTGTTCCACCTGAAAACACAATCAGCAATGGTCACGCAGTGTATGATGGGAGAAAGTCTAAATTAAATCAAAAGTTGAACAAAAAATTATAGCTAAACTCAGTGGTAAAAATATAAAGCATAAGTGAAATGGGAAATAGGATGGAGCATAAGCATAAAAAGATAGAGGATGGTGGGGGGTGGGAGTGGAGGAAAATGGGTAATAAAATTAGACCATATAGAGTATTTAGGGTTAATCGTTATCCATTTTCCTAATGCACCAACCCTCTGATGGGCAACGTGAAGCCGGTGAATGCTGACAAACCTCTATATAAAATGGTAAAACCTGAAGGGAAGAGGCAGTTACAAAACCCCAGTCCAAAGTGCAGAGTTAACCTGAAGGGGAGATACAATTATGGACACTTCGTACAATTGTGCATCGAGATTGAATCCTGGCGATACATCCGACCTAAAAGGTAATTGATTACAGCACTAGCAGGAGGCCCAGATTTATCTCTATCACGACTGACCGGATATTTAAAACATATATCCCAAGGTCTTCAGGGGAAAATGTCATAAGAGAATTTCTCATTAGCTTTCCTGGATTAGGTAGAGAGAGTGCATTAATGTTAAAACAATTAATAATTTCATAAAGCCTGCATCAATAGTAAGACTAAGTCATATTAATTATATCAGAGCCTGCATCAATGGTAAGACCAAGTAATCAATTAAATGTTCAGGTGTTCTGATAAGACCTGTTCAGAAGGGGGTCAACATCCAGAAATTGGGGTTAGTGTCCAGGCAGTTTTGCAGGTCGGACATCTGCAATAAATGTTGTGTAACTAAGGAGCACATAAGGGTGAGCATTAACAGTGATTACGAAGAGAGCAAAGAGACAGATGTTAAGCAACACCACATTATATCAATAACCATTGAAGCATAGCATTGGCTGCCACCTCCTACAATTTATAATATAAGATCAACCATCTACTTCAATGTAAAAATACTGAACCAATATCAATACAAGTTGCAAGAACTCTGGCAAAAAAATTAAATAAGTCCAACATAGCAGGCAAGATACTTCTTGAGCTCTGCCAGAATCTTGTAAAACACGCTAAGGTTTGTGCGAATTAAGTGATAAAAATTGCAATCATAGTCCGCTCTGTGATGGATGGAAGCATGATGGTTAAACCGAAAAGGATCAAAATAAGGTCAACTATTTAAAACTTTTAACAGTAAATAAAACATACTGTACATAAAAAGTGTACTGTGGTGCTCTCATGACCAACGGAGCTTCTAGACATCAAGCAAGTTATTTACATGCTGATATTCAAGAGACTGAAGGCTTAATGGGGACAGTGCACATAGTATCCACTCTAACATAACTATACGTGAGGAGTCGATATACAGTATCTTTAATTTTCTCCAAAAATTCTACATGAAATAATTAAGCCAGTTACCACAGTACGACAACAGAGTTTTTACAAGTTGTCCACCGCATTTTTAATACAAACTCATTATAATAAGGCAACCTAGCCTCGAACTTAGTTCATGCTACTGGAGAATATGGATGTCACGTACCTGAACAATGTCTCCTACCACGACTGAGGCCCAAAGCTCGACCCTATTATCCCCGGAAACCCTACTAGAGAGTCATCTACGAGCACATTATCATGCTGCCTTGGAGCAGGCAACACACTATTGACACGTGAGAGAGACAGAGAGAGAGAGGGGAGAGAGACCTGAAGGATACTTTTAGTTTGGTACTGTGAATAAAACCTGGTGTCGCCCGGCCTGGCCCAGGCCCAGTGGTGCGGGCAGGGGATGAGCCGGGGACAGGGTGTCACGAGCCAGCTGGATGGCTCTGAGTCACCTGGACGGGAGTAACTGGGTGAAGGAGTGCCAACCTGTCTTCAGGATTAGGTGAGATGCCCAGATCGTTGGAGCGAAGTCGTCGACTTAATTCTTCAATCTGCAGCTGCACTGTAATAGAGCGGGTTAGCGGGCAAAAATGCCCAAAATTCAATCAATATAGTGTACTTTAATTAACATAATTAAAGAGGATTTGCACTGTTAAAACTTTCCTCCAAAAGTATGAGTAGCAATTCAACTGACAGTGCCACCCATCGATGTCATTCATAAGTGATAAACTATCATTTCAACTAGATTATTTCATTAATTAGCTGTCTCGTTGCTTCTACCTATATTTATAAAAAAAATTTCTTTAATCTTGAATTAACCTGGAAATGGATGAAAAGGTGATATTTGAGGGAGAAGACTATTAATTAGTTAACTGTCATGCTGTAAACAAATTTTAATTATAACAAAAATAATAATAAATAACACTTACCCAACAACAAATAAAAGTAGTTATTATATAAGGAACTAATTCAAATTCTCTCACAACTTGCCCACACACATTCTCCCTGGCAGGTCCCACAGATTTCATTAAACACACACACAAAACTCTTACTGAGGAAAAAAAATAGTATAAAAAAAAGGAAAACTCAGAATATCTAGCACATCAGAATAATGGAGAAATTCATATTTTCACCTCTACAGTAACAGCACCAAAGATAGAGGATTTTCTCTATGAAGTATTCCTCTTCTTGCACATAACATCTGGAGATCCAAACATTTGGCCAGATGTTCTCAACAATTTCCATCGGCCTTCCTGTGGGGAAGTCGAATAAGTTGCTCTTGAAGCTAATAGCAGTTCCATCAGTTTTCAGTAACTGCTATGCTTGATGACGTCCTTGGATCATCAACACAATCTGAAAACTTGCTTAACTTTCCAGCAAGAGAATACATAATGCAACTTACACAAGTAAGCTTCCTCCTGATCTTTTGACATGTTACTGGGAAGTACCGTCGGCATACCCGGAATGAAGGTCTTGTCCTTCTCATCGCCCTGCCATCTTGATTTTCTACGTCTCTTTCTTTCTTCCTGTTCTGCTGGAAATTTAAATGCTTTTTCAATTTAAGTTCATAAATTCATTAACAATCAAGGTGCAGAAAATTAATACAAAAGTACATTACCATCTACAGAAGTTAAATACTCAAGAGTAAATAGGATACACTAAATTTAGAAACATCAACAGTATTTTTTTAAACCCAAATTCCTTAGAACTAAGCAGTGTTTAAATTAAAGTTATTTTAGATTATCAAACCACTCAAGAGATCAGTTCCTAACATGGGCAGTTTTGTGTTCACTTTTATTCTATAATTCCCCTTTCTTATCCTGATTTCTCTTTTCCTCTTTAACTTTTATTCTGATTCTTTCTTTTGGAGAGAGAGAGAGAGAGAGAGAGAGAGAGAGAGAGAGAGAGAGAGAGAGAAAGAGAGAGAGAGATATTAGTCAGGTGTCGTTCTTCAGTAAAGAGTCAGTTCAGGTATTACAGAGGAGAGTCAGAGGGAGGGGCAGGGGGATGTGAAGGGTAGGGGCCCAGCCTCATGTCATGACCTGACAAAATAAAGCTAGGATTCCATTCACGCATTAGCAGTTGTGTTAGCGACAAAAATAGATCACATTGAAATGTACACACACGGTTGTTTCCATTGGCACGGTTGCGTTAAGAGTTATGCATTTGCAGTACAGTACATGCCAATTGTAAACACAAATGCCCGATTGGAATCCTAGCTTAATACAGTGAAACACAAGAAGTTGAACAGTCCAAATCTAACTGGTACGCTCTGGATACAAGTTGTGTTTACAGTTCATAAAAAGAAGTTGCTTTTAAGTACATGTACTGTCAAATTTATTTGATAGCAGTGTGTGAAAATTTTGTGAAGGGAGATGGCATCATCCAATTTTAAGAAGCAAAAGTATGAGGATGAAAACAGAAATTTTAAGCCACGGGGGGAAGATGATTTTGTGTTTACCGTTAATGGAGGTAAACCTTTGTGCCTTATCTGCAATGTGTCACTCACTCACTACAAAGCCAGTAACTTAAAAGGGCACCACGAAACAAATCACCAAACCTTTTTGTGTGATTATCCACCAAAATCAGAATTACAGAAAAATAAGCTTTGTAAAAAATATACTGTAGTGGTATTTTATTAAAATATCTCTAATTGTATTGGTTTGCTTGTTTTTTTTTCTATTATATTTTCCTCCAAGTTTTGACCAAATGTTTACAAAGACAAATAAATATCTGGCTGAGTGCAAAAAGGACCAATGTCAAAAAAAGCCAATTTAGACTTTGGCTCACGAAACCTGGGTAACATGGGCCAGTCTGAATTGGCCCTTTTTGCAATCAGCCAGAGAAATATAATTAAAAATATTTCATAGTTATTTTCACCTTTTTCCTTCAACAATCCCATTTTATGTTACTGAAATGCAGAACTGCATATTTTTCTGATATGTGCCCGTAGTTCATTATTAAACATGCTCAACACCCTTAAAACAAACATCACTCAAGATTTGGATAACATTTGATATATAATTGTGCTCCTGATTATTGAAACATATAAAATTTAACAATTTAAAAACTACATATTGTACATTAGTAAATACAGAATTACTGTGTACAGTACATGTATTTCTTAGTAATATTTTCATAAATTTTTTTTTAATAAAATGTGTACTATACTGTATAATAATAAATGTGTGTATATTTTCTTCAAGTCTTGTGGCTCTTGAACATCTGAAGATTATCGTCTGAGGCTCTTAGGTTAAACAAGACTGGCCACCCCTGCTCTAGACAGTACTTTTATTGATATCAGAAAGTCATGAAACAAATTTTCTTCTATAGATACTATCTTACTGTGGCTAGTAATAATTCACACTTTTATAAACTACGTAGTAGATACAGATAAGGTAACCATACGACAATATCATACTGGATATAGGTACGGCAATCATATTGATGGACTGTGTTGTTAATAGTTACTGTAGGTAGAGTTAGTCAGAAATAAGTCAATCTTAGTAGGCAGTATCTGGCTGAATAACCACTGGTTACTTGATCGAGTTCTAAAATAAAACTAAGTACAGTACTTACTGTACTAACCTAACGTAACTCAGCTAGATATAACACAGAACATTCACAGACGGTCACAAGAACAATGCAGTATATTTTTACGAAACAAATTTTAGATCAAGTAACAATGACTCCAAGAAATATAAATAATAGTGTAATGTCCACAACCATCCTGAACAGATTTCCATCAAAATTCCTGCGGGTCCTGGTCAAATAGCTTATGGTTATTCGGTCAAAAATCCTGATTAAATAACCACTTAGTAACTATCTTAGTAACTATCAGTGTATAGCATGCCAATCACGCATGCGCATTAGACTGTCGTACTAATAGTCATCGATGATTCACATATGATAGCAGTACCTACATCATATACCTTTTAACAAATATCGATTGTTTTCTTCCTACATCAGATTTGCATTCTAAGCATTAAGCAAACCTCTCGGTGAAAATCTCCAAGGACATAATTTGTCCTTCCATACAGGTATGGCAGACGTAAACAAAACCTACCTACTGTAGAGTAAATTACCATATTTGACGGCATATAAGACGCACCCCCCCCCCCCCATTTCAACAGGAAGTACTGTACTTAGGAAAAAAATTGTGTGTGTATTTTCCTCCTGTAACCATAGTTTTCGTAATATAATATATACAGTACCAATAAATGTGAGGAATAAATAAAAATTATAACAATAAATAAGGTACAACAAAAAATTCTGCATGCCAAACAAGCAAATAAAAGCCAAATGAGTGTGTAACAGTTGCCATTTTTATATAATCCCTGGCTCACCACAGCAATGCAGATACCTCTGCTGATTCCCAAGCAACGCTCACCTCCATGTCCCGCCTCCACCCGCTCCCCCACTGAATTAACCAGCTAACTTGTGTGTAAAGAAATGTTTACTATTCCATTTACAAGTTTCCCCTTAGGACAATAATTTTTTTTTACCCTTTCACAATACGCTTGGATGTAGGAAGGTGTGCATGTAACTGAGTAAAAATAAATGAAGAAAGTTACATATATCTCCCTGAAAATACATAATGAAAAACAACCACAACACCAGTAGCCTTGTGGTTATAGTGACGAGTCTAACCTGGCTACAATGTTGCCAGCAATGTTAACAGATGCAAATGTAAAAAGAAAGTTACAGTATTGCATATGTAAATCTTCATTTGTATCAGGTATTTGTAGATTTAAAAATAAATGTTGCAGTTATGGCATTAATAGATTGTAATGCTTGTAAGAGTTCAGAAATGGTTACAGTGACGAAATGGGCACACCCCAGTTAGGTTAGGTTTTTTATATATTTTTACATTGTTTGACCTATCACTTTTTTTTTCAAATATCTTCACTTGGGGTATGCCCAGTTCATCACCAACCCGTTTCGTCACCGCATTCATTCTCATCAATATATGCACGAAAACAACTGTTGCTTGGGATAGTAAATAATAAAAACATGGACACTTTATTAAAGACGAAATTATAAAATAAAAATATTGTTAAAATGCTTGCGTGTAAAATAATAACTGGCAATTTGTCACTAATACCAGCAACTGTTAGTGGTGACGAAACGGATTTGATTTTGGTGAAGAAATGGGGTTTCGGTGATGAACCGGATTGGTGACGAAATGGGGTGTATCCCTTCACTATGCCTCATTCCCGATTGCAATGAATGTTATATTTGTATTAAACACAATGAATTACACTAGAAAACCCCATTTTTAATACTCAGGTCCCTTGTGACACTTTCTGAATATTGACCAAAAAATATCCACTACGTTTGTATTAAGCCTGCAATAATTGTTCACATTTACCAGTCTATTGTTCTGGTTATCGAATTTTACGTCAATGGTTAAACTCCGACCTAAAGTACTTCTTATTCGCAATGGCTCAGAATCATAAAACATTAAACCTATCTAAGAAAAAAACATGGAACACAACTTAAAATAGACTCGGGGTATCTTATCACTGCACACCCCCCACCACCTACTACATCTTTCTTACCATCATAACTAGCTTCACTTTCCCTCTTTCCGGGATTTTGACTGTGGTTGATTTGTGCAGAGACAGCAGCAGCAGCAGCAACAGCAGCAGCAGTTGCAGAAGCTGTACTTGAGGGTCCACCAGAACTCATGTAGCTTGGCTTGAGGAGTGACGAGCCAATAGGGGCAACCTTTTTCCCTGCACCAATGGCTGGATTCATCCTTCCTAGAGGCGTACTGTTGGCTCCACTCATCCTCGGTGGCTAAAGTTTTTAATAAGCTGTTTCAAACACACTCTAATTTTGTATCGAGGATCAAATAACTGGATAAGATAGGTATGCTTGGGACCTTCTATCCATATCGACCGTCTATACAAAATGGCCGCCCTGCCAGCGTTTCTCCCTAAGATTTCACTAATTTCCCTAAAAACATTTGGTAAAATACCCCACCAGACAAGGTCACAAATAGTACCATTAAATGGCAAAATATATATGAATAGACAATCTTTTTTAATACCACTCTTCTGTAATGAGAGATTATATATTCGAACTGCTTTAAGATGAGTTTATTTACAAGTTAAACTTAGCGAACTCGTACTAGGAGCATGTGGTACATGTTAACTGTTGATGGTTAATATACAGTTCACCTTTTCACATATCCGTTGAGACATTGTTACATAACTATTTGACAAATTTCATAACCGAATGATAGAACACATATCGAATGACAATCTGAAATAACTGTTCGTTCATGCTAACCGAAATGATTGACATAAGTTATGAAGGTGACAGACGTGAACAAATAAACCGACAGTCTACATATAGTTTGAGAATGTAACAATTGGAGAAGGTCATACCACCAAAAGTTATTTTAGATTGTCATTCGATATGTGTTCTGTCATTCGGTTATGGAATTTGTCAAATAGTTATGTAACAATGTCTCAACGGATATGTGAAAAGGTGTATTTCTTTTATCCTCTTCACCACTGATCGGCTCGTTAGCCGCTTGGGCGATCGGTCACGTCTGATTACTTTTCCTTTTCTTTTATCCTCTTCAACAAATTATCGGCTCGTTAACAGCTTGGGCGATCAGTCACAACTCTGTTACACACTGTTGGCAAGTACTGAGCAATCAACGGCTCCTGGATGTACCTGAACCTGCTCCAGTGACGGCCAAGTCTTGTCCTGAAAGAGCTCACACTCAGTGCAGTCACAACACTTTCTGGTAGAATTTTCCAAGAGTTCACAACTCTCATTCCGAAAAAGTTTGCCCTCACAGTTTTCTGGACTTGAAGCTTCTTCAATCTTGAGCTGAGACCCCTTGTGGGGCGAGCGTCCGCCAGCTCCAAGTAAGGACACTCGACAGAGTAGTGCCTCTTTCGTGTTAAGAACGTTGAAACACCTATTTCCATACTATTAGGACGAACGGTACATCGTCTTTCATGTCGCAACGTAAGATTGTCAGTCTTTATAGACCCGTAAACCTGACCAGCATAGTGTGCAAAATACTTGAGAGCATTAAAGAGATGCCATGATGGAACAACTACTACGAAACAACCTTGTATGGGATTGCCAACACGGTCTAGAACAGAGTGCTAATATCAACAGTATATACCGAGATTTTGCCAAGGCTTTCGACAGCGTACCCCATGAAAGGCTGAGAATTAAATTGGAAGGGTACGGGATTCAGGGAGGTAACCTAGCGTGGATCGGAGACTTTCTGTGTGATCGCAAGCAGTGTGTGGTGATTAAAGGTAAGGAGTCGTCATGGGTACCCGTGACAAGCGGGGTACCACTAGGCAGTGTATTTGGCCAGGTTTTGTTTGTTTGTTTCATAAATGACGTGCCAGAAGCTGCACACTCCATACAAATGTTTGTGGACGATGCCAAGTTATTCAGGGGAATTAAGAATCAATTAGACTGCGTAGAGCTGCAGAAAGATCTGTGAGCTTCTAATGGTCGAAGAAATGACTGCTAAGATTCAATGTCACGAAGTGTAAGAGGATACACCTGGGTCGTACCAACGGTAAGGAGGCGTATCATAATTATATCCTAACGGAACGAAGAAATTGCATTAATGGACACCGAATGCGAAAAGAACCTGGGTGTGTATGTTGACAATGAACTAAAGTTCTCGGGCCATTGTGAGAAGGTGAATCAAGCAACTAAACTATTAGGTTGTTTTGATATCTATGCAGCCAGTCCCTCGTAACGATCTTCAAGAGTGAGGTGCTTCCCCATCTGGAGTACTGGCATCCTGTCTGGTCCGGTGGTCCCTATATATGCTAAGGACTGTCACTCGATTGAAAATGTTCAAAAGAGGCCACCAGACTTGTGCCTGCACTTCAGAACCTCAGCTATCCAGAAAGATTAGAGCGCCTGCATCTGCCTAGCTTATACTACAAACGGGCAAGGGGTGAACCTAATTGGGGTGTATAAACGTCTCAAGGGCATTACTCAGTCAAGTGTCCATACCTGGAGCTGGCGGAGGCCCGCCCAAGAGGTTACAGCTCCAAAAACTTTAAAGGCAAAATTTTTCGGAGTGAGAATTGTGAACTCTTGGAACAACCTGTCAGAGAGTGTTGTGACGACACCGAGTGGGAGCTGTTTCAAGACCAGACTTGACCAACACTGGAGCAGATTCAGATACATTCAGGAGCCAGTGCATTCGGGGAAATGTCCTAGCGTGGATAGAAGACTTTCTGCATGACCGCAAGCAGTGTGTGGTGATTAATGGCACGAAATCATCATCCGTACCTGTCACAAGCGGGGTACCACAGGGCAGTGTATTGGACCCGCTGTTGTTTGTTTGTTTCATAAATGACATTCCTGACGTTGTACACTTCTCCATACAAATGTTTGCCGATGACGCCAAGTTATTTCGGGAAATCAAGAACCAAGCGGACTGTGAGGAGCTGCAGAAGGACCTCTGTGGGCTCCAAGAATGATCGAAGAAATGACTGCTGAGATTCAATGTCACGAAGTGTAAGAGGATGCACCTAGGGCGTACCAACGGTAAGGAGGCGTATCATATCTCCCAACGGGATGAAGAAACTGCACTATTTTGAGACAATGTGAGAAGGACCTAGGCGTGTATGTTGACAATGAGATGAAGTTCTCGGGCCATTGCGAGAAGAAGGTAAATTTGGCAAATAAATTATTGGGTCTTATAAGAAGGTAGTTCAAATATCTAGACGGTCCATCCCTCGTAACGAGCTTCAAGAGTGAAGTGCTTCCCCATCTGGAGTACTGTCACCCCGTCTGGTCCCCGAGATATGCTAGGGACTGTCAGTTGGTTGAAAATGTTCAAAGGAGGGCCACCAGACTGGTGCCTGCCCTTCGGCACCTCAGCTACCCTGAGAGATTGGAGAGCCTGAACTTGCCTAGCTTATACTATAGACGGGCAAGGGATGACCTAATTGAGGTGTATAAGCATCTCAAGGGGCACTACTCAGTCGAGTGTCCCTACTTGGAGCTGGCGGACGCTCGCCCCACAAGGGGTCACAGCTCAAGATTGAAGAAGCCGCAAGTTCAGAAAACTGTGAGGGCAAACTTTTTCGGAGTGTGAGTTGTGAACTCTTGGACAGCACCGAGTGTGAGCTCTTTCAAGACAAGACTTGACCAACACTGGAGCGGGTTCAGGCACATTCAGGAGCCGGTGCATGCCCGTACTTGCCAACAGTGCGTAACAGAGACGTGACCGATCGCCCAAGCGCCTAACGAGCCGATCTTTTGGTGAAGAGGAAAAGAAAAGGAAAAGTAATCAGACGTGACCGATCAGTAATTCGTTATCTTCCTTCGTCTTTTCCTTTTATTCTGAACCAACACCAAAATCAATATACACATTCACACATTCTCCCTTAGCATAATTGTTTTTATCTGTTTTTTTAATAAAAAATTTGATCAATAATAAGCTACTGTAATGAATGCCACGAATACACAAGTCTCATTTTCCCCTAGATTTTCCCTGCCATAAGCTTTCCCCACCCTTCCTGATTTTATTTGCATTTTTGCTTATGCAGTCTAGTAAGTAACACTATTATTTACGAATGTTCGATCATACCTGTAAGGCGAGGTCGACATCTTTTAAATACATTTGAATTAAAAAAAAGTATATATATATATATATATATATATATATATATATATATATATATATGAGTTAATGGATAACTGGCACATGTACGTACACACATAGTTATTTTGTTTTTGTTTTACAAATCTACTACACAGAAACAGTTCCTTTCTTAGGCGAAGATGTTTTACCTAAGAAAATATTTAAACTCAAATTTTGTCGAATGGTTGAAGATGGAGTAAAATACAGAATTAAATAAACATATTTGAAGGGGATCCAACAATGGTTTTACTTTATAATTTTGCTCACACGGTAAATTCATAATATTATATAAATGTAATGACTGATTATCGATAATGTGGTTATGCTTTAAAAAAATTATTACATAATAATTACACAGGGATATTGGTCACGTGATTAGTGTGTCTATAAAGAAAAAAATCCAATTCAAAATAGTGATATTTTTTTCTCAAATCAAATTAATTTAAAAAATAAATATTCTAGGTAAAAGTGTTAAGTATCAAACTTGATAAAATAATATTCTTTATTTTCTAATAGTTGATCATTTAGCAGCTGGTTGAAACGTTTTCCAAAATATCAAAATTCCGGGTTACAAATAATATAGAGTAATTATATATTTTAGTCTTAAATGTACAAAATTTATTTTTATTTGTTAAAATTTAGCGAATATATTTTATATTATTAATTATCTTTGATATATCAACGAAATTAAAGTAGTAGATATGTATGCATTTAAGTTTTCAGGGGATACACATTTGTTGGAGGCGTATTTAGTAACGTTTGGCCAGTTGTAGCTCCTGACCACAATGTTACTGAGTATAAAGTTTAAATTATGTGCCAGTACATATTAAGTCAAATAATTCATTGACTATAGGTAAGGCCTATGTAATGTCTGATACTCTATGAAAGTAATATAATTGTATACCCTGATTTTTGTCTCGCTAAACCTGCAAAAGGTCTTCTGTCTGGTAGTCAATTATTTTGGGTGAATGTGATCCATATTTTAGATATTATTTTATGGTTCTATTGGTTAAAAATAAGGTCAATATCCGTCCATTGGCTGTGCTCAGGCTTTAGTACGAGAATAGGTTTTTTTTTTACGTGTCTGTTTTACTCAAATCTGACCTCCATTTCATCTGCAAAATAGCGGTTTTTGCAAAAAAATAAATACAAATTTCATTTTTAACAGAAACAGGTAATTTGCACAAAAATGGAGGTCAAATTTTAGTTTAGCACACCAAAACACACATAAAGGAAACCTATTCAACCAACCTACTTAATCTAACCTTGCAAGATCAGTAAGTGTTCACAATTATTATGCAAGACCAGTAAAATTACCGTTTCGGTAATCCACCTATATTTGGAAGTTGAAATAAACAATTGGAAACAAAAATTTCAACCTTACCTAACTCACAGATGACGTTCTGGAAAGAGGCTGTTATGCCAAAACAACGGTCCGACTAATTACCCAAATGTAGCCAAATGTAGCCAAATGTAGCCGCAATGAAGTCAAATGATGGTCGTACAAGCGTAATTCGGGCTGTGAATTACTTCTAGATTATTATTTGGTGTCATAAAGTAAAAAAAAATTGGTAAACTTAATTTAATCTGAGTTGTGTTGTGTTAGGTTAGGTTAGGTTAGATTAGATTAGATTAGGTACATGCACTTGATCTATTAACTCAGATTAAATTAAGTTTACCAATTTTTTGTGACTGTGACACCAAATACTAGTCGAGAAGTGATTGGCAGTCTGATTTATTCATCTAGGACCATTATTTGACTTCATTGCGACTACATTTGGGTACATTTGGGTAATTCCTCGCTCCGTCGGTACATGCACGCGATCTATTAACTCAGATTAAAGTAAGTTTTCCATTTTTTTGTGACTTTCTGACACCAAATACTAGTCAAGAAGTGATTGGCAGTCCGATTTATTCATCTAGGACCATTATTTGACTTCATTCCGGCTATATTTGGCTACATTTGGGTAATTAGTCGGACCCCCAAAACCATAATAATACTTAAAGACCATTATTAGTTTTGGCAATTTTGTCTTTGTAGTGGATATTTTGTTGTGACTGGCTAAGTTCCAACTAATGCTATTTTACCGCGAGCGTGTGCTGATTCGCTAAATACTTTGTTTAATATGATGGGGGGGGGGGGAGATGCGTTCGTGCCTCTCAGCTAGGAAGTAGGTAAGGTTAGGTAGGTTTCTTTGGTTGGTTTGGTCAGGTTCTATTATATTCTAGTAAATGTCGCCTCTTTTATAATAAGTCTCCATGCACAACAGAAATATGGTTAGGCATGTTTACAGCTGCACAATGATCGACATAGCGAAATAAATGTCAAATGCCATCAGAGTCACGGTCAAATGTAATTATTGTGTTATTCGCCGGTAATGGACGCTTAGCCAATCAGAGCGCACTCGCGGTAAAATAGCATTAGTAGGAACTTACCAGTCATGGCAAAATATCCACTGCCTTTTTTTCTTAAATAACTATATATTTCTTTGATACAAATAGTACACAGAGTAAGTGTAAAGGTTGGGGAAAATTAAGTTTATAGTTTACAACATTATCCTGTTAGAAGGAACCATGGCTAATAAACGGTTGGTTTCCGTCAGCAGTTCGGTCGCTATATTTTGGCAAAATTATCGTTTCATTCATTCCTATGTTTTTCCTACGGCATTTGATGTTTTGATTGATTTTGATTTTACCTGCCTGAACCAACCTAACCGAGCCACGGAACCCAGGAACTATAACCTAACCTAAATTCCAAAGTTTCCCAAGCTGACCAAAATGATGATATCACCCATTTTTCTTGGGCAAATGCTTAGTTACGCGATATAGGTGAGTTAAGATACCATCTTACAGTCACTTCTTCAGCTGTGATGCACCAGATGTAAACAATCTACCATGGTCGTCAGCAGTTCAGGTTCAGTAATTATGAACGTCTTTTTAGAAACCATTTTGTATGTTGATTACTTTCAGTCCTATTTATTTTCATGTGTAAATGCTTAGTTTTCTAGATATAGGTGAGTTAAGATTTAGGTTAGGTGTAATTATTGCAGTTTCACTCTCAATTGGATAAGAGCAATTTTGGGCACACCAGAAGTTATATCTCGTCAAAAAAAAAAAAGGATCACCTGAAGATTCATCGCCCCAGCTTATTTCACCTGAAGATTAACTACCTTAATGCTAACTTAACCTAGCCTTAGCCTATTCTATCCTAACCTAAATCTAACCTAACATATCCTAACCTAACCTCATCCTCCCAAAATAGTTTTAGGGTAGTTTAATCTTTACGTGAAATAAGCTGGGGCTATTATTCTTCAGGTGATCCAAAAGAACTTCCTATCCTGTGCATTGTCATTTTAATTATTGGTAAAGGTGGGAGAGACTGCTAGCAACAGAATTAACCTATGGAATTGAACCGAAGTTTCTGGAAATACTATTTGCATGATGCTGAACATGAAAATGGAGGCGAGAATTCACAGAACCTATTAAAATCTGACCTAACCTGCCTAACCTACTAACCTGTGCATTGTCATTTCAGTTTACATACTATCATCCAAACAACATCTCGAGAAAAAAATGAAAGAATTCAATCCAATATAAATCGTAATAAACACCCCCGATGAGATTGTAGTTCATTTTTTGACATGTAAACAAAGACCGCAGATGCTCCTGCATAGCAGATGTGAACCAAAATTTGGTTGCCACTGGAGATCCAGCAGCACCATAATTACATTAAATATACAGGAGGTCCCTGACTTATTAACGCCCGCCGAAACAAACGGTGTTAAACCTTAAGTTTACAGTATTTTATTTACCTGATGATTTATTTTTTTATTTATTTCCTGTGTTTCTTCATTCTATTTCTTCTTTTCTCTTAAATTAAGTGATTTTAGAAGTAGAAGGACTTAGGCTTTGATATAGTGGGATTTTAAACATTGTTCTGTATGTACGGTATTTACATAGCATGTGTTCCAACTTACATACATTTCTGACTGAAGAACGTCCTCTGGAATGGAACCCGTTCGTAACCCGGGGTTCCCATGTATTGGTAATTTATTTGGATCTTGACTTGCTAGTTTGGCAAACAATTTTTGATGCCTAATGCAATGAAGATAGCCTGTTTTGTGGAAACATTAAAAAAAAGTGTTTTTTCAACTTGCAAGTTGAGAACTGCTCTGTTATTTCAGATACATTCCAAATTCATTTTGAAGAAAACACGAATTAAGCTGAAATCCAAATTAAATTGATCCTAATTAACGTGGGTAGTGTATACATAATTCCAGAATATAAACTAACCTAGACTATAATTCAGAATAATGTAACATATGAAATTATCCAATTAACTTCATTTCACTCAAAAAATACTAATACAGTGCCAACTTTTCATTATACAGTATACAGTATATATACTGTATATTAATCAGTGTATTCTTTTATGATGAAATCCTGTTCATGTATTCCATTCTACTTTACAGATTCCAGTTTTGTTAATTAAAACAAGCAAGATGTCGCTATCAAAACGGGAATATGAGGACTACAAGGCAGCCGTGGATAAGATGGTGTATAAATATGTGGCACGTGATAGGTCAAGCGTTGTGTCTGCCATCACACATGCAGTTGATTCGGGATGTGACAAGAGAAAAGTTGAAGACAAGCTGATGGGATATGTTGATAAAAGCATGGCATATAAATTGGCTGAAAAGGTAGGACTAGAGAACATTATGTAATTCAGTTTACTAATTGTTTAAATTAGCCCCTACCATTGATGTCTGATCTCCAGATCCAATACAGGTAAACTTCTATTGATGTCCCAATCTACAATAATTTGCATTAATGGTGATGATATCTTAACACTCTTTGGATTTTCATATGCAAGTTTGTGTATGAAGTCAGAAATTCAAATAAAATAATTTTATGTTAAGGTATGAACACTAGATATGCAAGACGTACGTTTGGTAATGTCAGTGCGATCTGGTAACTATGTTGGCTGCACTCCAAGGTTATCACACCAGTCTCCCTTTTGTGTTTAAAGGCCCCAGGATATAATGTTGACCCACATTTCTCATGCATCACAGTGATTTCATTTATTCATAACAGTGTTATGGGAGTTTTGAACCTTGACTTGTGTTGCTGGTATGAATTGAGGAGTGGGAAAACCTAAAAAGTACAAGGAGATTGCACCACGTGGTGATAGTGTGGCTTCTCCTCATGCTTCTCCCAGTGTCTCTGGCCCTTCAACAATCAGTCCTAGTGTTGTGACTCAATTTGTATGGTACAATTATCTTTTACGCCCGCCAGGAAAAAATTAATTATCTGTACTTGGCCTGGGCATGGTCATCAGAACACAAAATTTACACTATTACCTAGCGACATTAATTTTTTTTACAATTTTCATCTATAAATATTTTGTCCTAAATATGCATGTTTCTTGCACTTATGTATAGAAATAATTATTTTATTGTGACTACTTAAATAAAACTGTTTATAGATAATTTATTTAAAATTCTAATGCAACAAATACCACCTTTTTATCTCAAATAGCAAGTTTTCTATGACTCGCTACGTACAATTATCTCGTGTGGTGCAGTCAAGTGTGGTGATGTGAATAACAGGTCAAACCTCGAGCTTTTAACGGAAGAGCGCTTAGCCAAACCCGAGTGTTAAGACCACTCCCCAATTTGCGGTGTAAATAATGTACTCTGTTTTAGTGATTGTGAAGTACTTTTGTTCTGACTGTGAATTGCTTTCCCTGTTTTAGTCTTTTTTTGTATTTTCGTATTTTGTGGGTTTGGGGTAATACATCATGAATATGTGTGTGAAAAATTTATAACATTCCATAATATGTCTAATTGCTAATGGTAAAAACTACTTGTATAGTAGTACTGTAATACAAAATAATAAAATATTTATGAGATGGATTTACAATTTGTTGAACTTTAATCAAGTTAACATCAAAAACACATTCGAATAGGTAATAATGAAAACAAACTCACTCACCATAACCAGTCATGACCTTCTGCTTGCCTGAAGAGTGGGTGGGGGGGAGGGATTAATAATCAAGCACGTTGTCTTCCGGTGAAGCCTCATTGTCGACGCCTGCCGCAGCATCCTGTGCCTCCTGTTCAGTCACCAGGTCCATATAGAACTGCTTGTATTCGGTTGGTATGTACAGTAGGGGTCAGAAGTCTTGAACACTTAGCAATATCTGGCAACTACTTCTGAGTTATACATATTTGATTGGGATATAAGTACTAATAACACTACTTGTCATCACATATTATGCTTGAACCACAAAATGGGATAAAACTCTCCTTAACACCTAAGATCTTCGGGTACTTACATGCCAAATAGTACAGTCTCTCCTTGACCTATGATGGGGTTCCGTCCCGACGACCAGGTCGTAAGTCGAAAAGGTGAAAATAATACATAGAAATTCTAAAATGGGTCTCTTTTTCTTCTCAGCACCACGAGAACTCTCACTTTTACGCTTGCCAGCCATTTTAAAGGGAATTACAAACAAAAATTTTGTCAGTACACAGTGCGAACACTAACGCCGGGACTCGAAAATACATAATGTGAAAAATATTTTATACGACCATGGCCGTCATATGTCTGGGTTGTCGTAACTCGAGGAGAGACTGTACTGTCAAGTGTTCAGGACTTTTTACCCCGACTGTATGTCATCAGATCCTTAATGTCTTTCAACTTAATTTGACTGGGGAAAAGAGTAAGGAACCTGTGTTCCTGGGTTGCACATGAAAGAGCATGGTGTGAGCTACCAAGAACCATGGAAAATAGATTTTCCCACATTTGGTCAGCTCGCCCTTGCTACTCATATGCTGTACATTTATCTCGAGGAATTATTATTTAACATTTAGTATCATCTAGAAGAGAAGTGACCCTGGGGGAGAAACTGACTGCAAGGACCCCCCCTCACCCCATACCACCCAGAGTGTATCACTGACTCCTGCATCTTTCACTCATTCTACTAAAACTTATTCATGATACACATTGCTTGTTATTCATTAATTAGTGAGGATACATTACTGTAATAATTGTTGCTTACTAATACCTGTATCATTCATATGGGTGTCCGACTGGCCAGGAACCTATCCTATTGAACCCCATGTTATAATGAACCCAATTTATGATATTTTGACCTGCGAGGAGGCTTTCAGGAACCTAACCCCTTTGAAAATAGAGGTTTACCTGTAGTTTAATAAGCACACTATAGGTACATTGTAGGTACAGGAACAGAAAGTATTAATACAATTGCCTCAGAATTCCCACCTTTCGAAAGATAAACACCGCTTCATCCTTCTATCCCCGTAATCATGTTCTCATTTACTCCCTGTATTTTATCTTACTTTAAGTAAAATTTTAGGAACTAAATTATTATCAACCTTTTCAGGCCTTTTTACTGTTGGAAGACATAGGAACAAAAGTTAAAAGCACATCATCTAGAAAACGCACACATAAAGAAGACAATGATCGTGAAAAGGATAGTAAGAGGGCAAGGGTTAAAGATGAAAAGGAACCAGTACCAAATATTAAAGCGTCTCAGCCACCATCATCAGGGCCAAACAACACTGTTAGCCCTGGACAAATTCAGGCTCAACAAGTAAGTAGTGTGTGGAGTACTGGAGTGTACAGTACAGTATTATGTTTTATCACCATGATCTATGTGAATGATTGAAGAGTAAAGTGGCAATTTATTTATTTGAGATGGAGACACTGCTGATGAATGATGGTAGGTTGTGCCAAGTATAATCCAGATAGAATAGTCTGTTTCACAAGTCACTGGACATTTCTTATTGGCAATGAAATGGGAAAATCAATTACAGCCTTTCTCTTTTTATTTTTTTGTGCAACCAAGTGGAATTGGCTTCCATTATGTGTTAGCTTTATCAGATACAAAAGGTTCTTGTGAGATGAAGAGTTTATTAGAAGAATTTATCACTTAACCTTTCACTTTGAATAACTCTGACATATGTTTGCAGATTAAGGATATTATGGCCAAAGCCCAGGCTGTAATAGAAGAAAGAAAAAAGGCTATGGCCAACCTTCAAACTACGGAGTCAAAGCCAACCACTAATGGTGCAGGTAGGTTTCAGGTGTGTCTTTTATAAATAATCATACATCATTGGTAAAAATATTGTATGCTGAAGGGCATGAAACTGTTTCTTGGATGTTTTTACAGTATTCTAATACAGTAAGAACCTACTGAATGAGTACCCAATGAAAGATAATTCAGTTTAACAAGAATAGTGGTTATCATCATCATTATCAATGTTTTATGACCATATTCCACTCTTGCAGGTGTTAGCCATGATTATATGATGACAGCTTACTCGAAGCTGTGCAGTTTCTTGCAGCCTCTCATTTTAGGTGTGAAAATTCAGTGAACAAGCTTGTACAGGATTCAGTTTAACTATCAAAATTCCGAGTGATCCAGTTCACATAATCTTTCATGGATTCAGGCTAGTTATGTTTTGTCATTGGTTGAGCCACCAGTCAGGTGAATGCACTCACCAACTCAATTTCTATACCCAACTTGATTAGCCAATGAACCTAGACAACTTGGCAGTCTTTGTTTATCATCTTCTTTTCTGCCTCATGGAACATATGTCGTCTTTGTTCACAGAGGATGAAGAGCAAATCTATCACCCTGAATACAAAATTGGATGCCTGTCTCCTCAACCCACTAAACATGTACACATTCCTCCAACAATGCTCGGCATTCATCTTCAGTTCTGAAATAGTACAGTGTACTAAAACACTGTTCAGTATTGTAAGGTTAGGTTTTAAGATAAAACAGATTTGGGCTGGAGTGCATTTCAACTTTTAACCTGGGAGTTTATGGGAAAATGGGTCCCATTGAATGAGACTTCACCTAATGAGCACTTTTTCACGAAGGTAGGTTACTCATTTGCTAGAAAATAAATCTAATTGTACGACAAAAATCTTTATTGTTTCAAACTTACAATCCAATGCCATGTTTATTGGACAAATCTTTTAACACCTATTCCACTTCATATAAATGATGTGGTTTAGAGTTAAATGGTTTAGTGAACACAAGGTGAGCAATTTGAAAAAAATTCAAATTGTAAATGATGCTATTTGTGCCAAAAGACTGCAAGGGGTTGACGTTTCTGACCATGGCCAGGAGTACCAGAGGGTTAATAGTATTAAATTATGTTCGGCTGCATTCAGACTAATGAAAATATTTTCAATAGCAGCTGACACAAAATAATGAAATGTTTACTTCTTTGCAGCTGTGCCTTTAATATCCCAACCTTCACCAGTTGTAATAGCATCAGCTGGATCAGGTGGTGGTGATGTGACCTCACGTATTGCTGAGCTTCAGGCCCGCATTCAGGCTCAACTAGGAAATGCCACTGCCTTAGGAATATCTAGCTTGCAGATGGGGGCAGCACTGGGCACAACTGTTGCATCAACAGCTAAACCTCTAGGAGAACAGAGCAAACCAACTCCACTCATTTTGGATGCTGAGGGACGAACTGTTGACCAAAGTGGAAAAGAAGTGCACTTAACTCAACGGATTCCTACATTGAAGGTGGGAAGAAGAATTTTGTTTATTCAAGTTTTGCTGACCATTTAGATATTAAGTTCAGTTTTTGAAGTATAGTAATAGAAAAATTGAGTACTTTTCATGATTCTACATAAATTTTGTGAGTAACAAGTAATAGATCCCTGATGAAGCTTGAAATATCATTATTGCTTCAGGTTGTGTCATATTTTGAAGCTTGCTTGTGTTTAGAAAAATAGAGTAGACTTCTATTTGCTTGTACTATATTTCTGATCTGATCATTTACCTCGTGATGTAATACTGTAGTTAGCTGTTGGCCTTTGTTGGATTAAATTATACCTATACAGTGTATAAATTTATGGGTAATGGGTTTCCAATCCATTTAGTTAATCAGGATTCAAATCCTCTTTAAAGAGGCATTGTGAGTGATATTCAGTTGGGTCATAAAAGCCCAACTAGGTCACAAATCCAGACCATAGGGTGAATTTACTTATCCTATCTCAACCTGTCTGTGGTGTGTGACCATGACCCATGTGACAGATGCCTATGTTTATTCAGGTACAGGTATATGAATTCCTTGCTTAAATATAAGTCGCATTGTCATGCTGGTCTTTTATGTTCCGTCGTCATTTTCTTTACCTTTCCTCCAGTGTCTCTACTCCCATGTATTTGCAATTGATGCTCATGTATTCCTCATCTACTTAATTAGCAACACTAGCCTCTCATCTTGCAATTCTTTCTTGTTTATTCTTCCTAATTTCACACTGCAGCTGCATTTTTAGGACAGCAATATTAAATTTTCCCCATTCCTCTTCAATGCCCTTTTCTTCTTTCTCATAATACTGTACATCAGTTCACTTTATCTCAATACATTTCTGTATATACAGTAGATGTATATTTGTCACATTTCTCCTTTGCCCAGGATTTTTTCATTCATTATTGTTTAAATTATCCTTTTCTGTCATTACAACTATGCATATTAAAATATGCAAGTCAAAGTTACTGTTTTTTTTTCTTTTTGATAAAAAAGTGTTGAGGATACCAATATATATTGTTCAGGAGTACATAAAACTATTATATTTGTAATACACTTACAGCACTTATAAATTTGATCCCTCTTTTCACTTCATGGAAATTTTTTCTTCCATCAGGCCAACATTCGAGCCAAAAAACGGGAAGAATTTAAACAGCAATTGCAAGAAAAACCCATCGAGGACACTGCTGAGAGTAACTTCTTTGATGCACGAGTCAGTATTCGTCCATCTCTGAGAGTCAAGAGGCCTTTTAAGTTCCATGACCAGGGCAAGTTTATTCAACTTGCTCAGAGAGAAAGAGCAAAGGTATGAAATATTCTTTATAAGTTTAAGTTATCTAATTTACGGAAGGAAGTTGTTGTCTTCTTTTCTGTCTTTGGAAATGGTAGTTGATGCTTTACTGTGACTTTGTCACCAACCTGCAGAAATTTTAAATCCGATGTTTTAAATGTCAGGTGATCTTGTGATACAGTCAAACTTCCCAAATCCGAATTGCTTGTGACCAAACTCTGTTTGAATTCTGGAAAAATTTGAACTATGGATACCTAAACATCATGGTCTTTTTATACACAATTTAAGTGAAATAATTAAACTGTACACAAGTTGCCCCAAATCCTATAATTTTCTTAATTCCTTAAATACTGTGGGAAGTAGAAGTCACTGTTTACCTTCAAACCTCATTACCCCTGTATATTTAATATTTACAAAAGCAGCAGTACCATACAGTACTGTACATTAAAAAGAAATTATACTCTCTCACTACCAGGCCAAGTGGGGGGGATTTCCCAGCATTCCCCCATCCAATAAGCTGGATGATATGTTTACTTTTCAACTTGTAATTTTGGGTAAATGCAGTACAGTAAATCCTTGCTATTCATGAGGGTTAGGTTCCAATGAATGGCATAAATTGTTAAAACCGTGAATAGCAACTTGTAGTACCTTAGTGCACGACTGTATACCTATACAGTGTATAAGAAACTTAGGTAACCATTACTGTTCTTCATATGTGGAAGTTTGGCGCTTGATGAAGTGTACTGTATAGTAGAATGAAATTTGGTTACTAAAGCATGAGGATCACTGTTGGAAGAGGGTGATGTAGTGGTAGTTGGTGGAGAGGCAGGCAGGCGGGTGATGGGGAGGTGGATGGTGGGGTGGTGTGTAGCAGGGAGATGGGTGGTGGAACGGCGGCAGCAGTTGACCGAGTAGGTGAGGGAGACGAATCAACTGGGTGAGTGGCTGGTTTTTTCTTGAAAAACACTATGATTGGTGTTGTTTCCTCTTGGCTTTGGGGTCTCTAAACATTTCACTCCACTAGCACTGACACTAGGCAGACTTTTAGGGGCCATTTCACACAGAAACACTAAAGTTTTCAGTATAAAAGTGATGCTGTGTCGCAGGCAATGATTGAGCGCAAACAACTTGAGAGGAATTGGGTTTAATTTTTAAAAGTCTGCTTGGGATCCTATCCTGTGTCTGCCTTAGGATGGTCTCATGGGCTAGATGAATGCTCAATTAAGTCCATGTTATGGAACAAAACCTGATCATATTCTCCATTGTGGCTCAATTCCAAACTTCAATAAGTTTGGCTTATGTTGTAGATATCATGCAAAATGTTCAAACATCTTTATACCAATCAGTCATTAGTCACAGCAGAGTCTTGTGTACACAAAATATGGCAGCTCTTCTGATGTAATGCTGTTTCACAAAAAAAAAAACTTTCTATGCTCTTCATATCAAGTACAACCCAGTAACTGAGGTGTGAGAAAATTGATGCTGTATATCTTTAAAAGGATTTTGTGACTTTATCCATGAAATATTAAATACGTAGAGCCCAATTTTTTTTTTTGCACACAGTTGATGGGTCACTGATATCCTGGAGACTGGGAAGATCTGCTAACTAGGAAAATAAATTTTGATGAATTACAACAGTAAAACAAGACAAACCTTACTGAACCTAGCTTAAGCTAACCTTGTTTAGGTTAGATTATTCTTGTTAGGTTAGGTAGGATTAGTTTAGTTTTGTTGCCTTGATTAAAGTACTCATTTTAAATAACAACTGTGATCACTCTTTGTACCTGTATAAGTTGGGTCTTGGCTGACATTTTTATAAACTTCTACATATTTTAACACTATAAGCCATTTATACATGAAGCTCAGTGTTTAATCTATCATGAGAAGTGGTAAATGTTTCTGTAATATGAAAGCAGTTAGAGAAAAATTAATTTGTAGAATTGGTGTGTATCTTAGGATATTACCTAAGAAATACTGCAGTGGGGTAGGTTTAGCAGAGATAATGCTCCACTTTTATTTTCTTGAACACTGGTTTACTGATTCACTACAGGTTTAAACATACTTTTCCTCTAGGATTGGGGATAAATTCATTGATTAGGCTACATTACTTCTGGTTTGCTGGGTCAGGGTGATGACAGTTGTAGAAATGGTTTTTACTTTTTTCATCATCTTATTGATTTTCACCAGAAACAAATATACTTTTCACACAAAGATTTGTTGCTGAGATAGGGCCTGGGTAATTTTAGGTTAGGTAAGCTTCACTTAGTTTATTTAATTGCTATTCTGAGATGCTTTCCTCTCGAACCAAACACAGCCACCACTAGAAGCCATGCCTAGAGCATGAAATTGTAAAAACTACAAATTAAAAAGAGTGAACAGTCCACTGTGGCTGAGCAGAAACAGCACAACTTCATGGACAGCCAGCATGGATCAAATACACACAAAGAAGGGACCTCGTGAGTGGTAAGGGAGCCTATATTACACACTGCTCTTGTGAGAGGTTACCATGTGAGTCACCAAATTTTCATCCCATGCATTTGAAGTTTAAGAGTTTTTGGAAATAAAAAATACATTACAGTATTTGTTTAATAGCCCCAAAGGCTCTGACAGAAGCAAAGTTTAAGCGGTTTTGAAGTCCAAAATTGCAAGTGTTCGCTGTGAGAAGTGATACTACCCTCAGTGTCAAGACCTGACTGAATTACTCAGAATAGGCAAACTGTACTCCAAGCTTTGTCAATAAATTTGTTAAACTAAAAATAGAAACTAAGGTATTTTTAATTTTATAAAATTTGCATTGTAATGTAACCTAGACCATTTAAAAAATAAAGAGCTTGAATGACCATTAAGTGATTTTTTTTATTTTGTACAGGCTCGGTTAGAGAAACTGCAAAATGAGATTTCACAAGTTGCAAAGAAAACTGGCATTTCTTCAGCAGCCAAACTGGCACAACTAGAACAGAGAGAAATGAAGAGTGTTTGTGATGACTCCCCTGATATTGAGTGGTGGGATGCCATTATCCTTCAAGGAAATAGGTTCGTATTTATTTTGCATACCAAGATAGTGATTGTTTTGAAAATATTATATATAATTAGGATGTTTAAAAGGCTGCTACTTGTATGCTATAAAGACCTATGTTTTCAGTAGTTCTGTGAAGAAACTTTTCACCCTTTTCCATTTTTTAAGTAGGCGGTGAAAATTTTTTCATTTACTGTAGAGAACAGTATTTAGAAAAACTAAATATTAAAGTTTAATGTGTTTGTGTCTGTCATTTGTAAGTATACATAATTTCTATCATTAAAATGACAGTAATTTGTCATTCTTATAATACTGTGCTTTATTCATTAAATTTGTGGCCTCGGAACTCTTGCTGGGGAAAGTGTTTTGTTTTCAGATTAAAACATATATGGCCTCCATGCCAGTTTGAACTGTCTGCCTTTGGCCATATGTACTGTATTGGCTTTCAAATGTGCCTCTGCCTTTGTACAAAAAATATCTATTATCTTATTGAGAGATTTCTAGGGTATTTTTATTTTTGTAGGCAATTATTGGTTATCTTTTAAAGATCAATACTTTTATCACTTTGCTGAGTATTATATAACACCCCCTCTAGGCAAAGATTGGCTCGACCATATAGTTGAGCTGGAAACATATTATCCAACCCTCTTACAGTCAAGGCGGAGTTAATAGCATTACAAATATTTAAATTAGAGAATTATCATTCTATCTTTAGAGTTTTCTGAACAGTATAGATCTATTGATTGACAGTTAAACAAGCCAGTTATGATATCAGTTGCTCCCTTTTTCATTTTTTAAATTAAATATTGCAGTTAATGTTTGCCATTTTATTTACTCACAGATATCCAGAAGAGGGGGAACCAGTTAAGGTGAAAGATGACTGTATAACAAGACTAATTGAACATCCTCTAGAAATGAGATGCCCATCAGATCCCTTGAAACCAGTGACTCTTGAAGTCCTTCTTACTAAGCAGGAGCGTAAAAAGCTGCGTCGCATGAATAGACGAGAAACTTGGAAAGAAAAACAGGAAAAGATTCGTTTAGGATTGGAACCTCCCCCAGAACCTAAGGTATGGTGATTTTATTTCAGCCATGTTAATCTCATTCAAAATACAGTAAGGAAGTTTATGTACAGTATACAGTCCTGATACAGTATAGTGGTCACAGTAGTACCATTGATGGTTATTATAATTAAGGAAAGCTCCTAGGGTATATAGATGATATAGGGGATTAGGGGTAAAGATATTAAAAATTTTTAGAAGGAAATTTTTTTCGTATCTTATCAAGTTTTGTATTACATATTATTTAATTTATTATTTATCACCCGAAGATGTGGCCAAAATATAAAGTTGACACTCTGGGGCTTAAATAGTATTCCAGAGCTTCTCAATCTTTTTGTTAGTGTATTAGTATGTGTACAGTACAGAAAGCCCTTGCTTGACGTCGGTTACGTTCTTGAAAAAAACAACATTAACGGAATCAATTTTCCCCATAAGAAATAGATAAAATACGCTAGTTACGTTCCCCAGTCTCCCTTTGCCCCATAAAATACATTACATATAGTACATAAATTCAATGGAATTTTTATAGGAAATATATATTTTACATCCAAAAAGATAAATAAACTAAATAATTTTGTATTGTACTGACTGATGGGCGGAGGTGGAGCGAGTGTGTGGTGGGTAGTGGAGAGGAGGAGGGTGGTGAGTCACTGAGACCCGGAGGGGGGCTCCTCCTCCCGCTCTGACTGGGGTTCCCCCTCCATTTTCGTAGCAAGGCTAATGGTCTTGCGTTGTTTCTTCACAACACTAGCATCACTAACACTTGATGGGCGCTTGGAAGCCATTTCGAATGGTTACAGTACAGTATTTAACTATTTATAGCAAAAACACTTTAAGCATGCATGTACGCTGTGGAAGCCTAACAAAGACTGGGGACGCTGTGACTCTCTGTGAGAGAGTGTAGCACGCCAAGATGAGAGAGAGTGATGTGCCTTACAAAATAATCCCTGTTGGATGACAATGTTATAACGAATCGGTCGGGATGTTGTAGGAATCATGGGTATCTAAAGAGTAGTGACGTTATAACGAAACAACGTTTTCTGGGACATTGTTAAACGAGAACTTACTGCACAGTACTCATATTTGTAATTGTCGCCACACTTCTGGTGACAATTTCAATGACAAAAATTGATCCATTGTGTTTAAGAGTGGGGATTGTTTGTCTTTTACTTGTTATCATACATATGCCAACTGTGTCTGGGAGCAAGGAGGCAGGGAGAGATGGGAAAATGGCAGTTAGTAGCCTGTGTGGCTTCCTAGAGAGAGGATCCCTGTTACTGAGCTCCCCGCCTGTGACCAGGACTTTTTTTATTTTATTTGTACAAGTGTTGTGCTACTTAGCCGTACAATGAATACTTTATAACATGTTGTCAAAGGATGAGCTAATTGCATTTGCATCCCTACATAAGGCAGAGCATCCAACAAAATACATTAGTGGCCAGACGGGTGTCAGTGCCCTCCAAATACAATGTTACATCAAGTGGATGAGGGACAATGGTGGGGATGAGATTCCCAACAAGAAAGTACATCCTGGGAAGGCCTGCAAGACTTCTCCCAGGATTCTGAAGGTTGTGCAGTGTCGACTATAGACTAATCTACGTTTGTCTGCACTACAAATTAAGGAACAGAATCCAAGGCTGCTTGGTGATGTGTCAGTGAAGACAGTCTTTTGCCGTATTCATGACGACTTGCACTACCACAGCTTTGCTGTTACCGATTCATTTGAGAAGTGTCAGGCCACATTTTTTATGCAGGTCGGTGCACATTACCACACTGCTAAACCAGTGGAGGAGTGGCTTAAGGACTGTTGTGTGCCCTTTGATGACTGGCCTGGAAATTCCCCTGACCTGAACCCTATTGAGAACCTGTGATTCCCTATTCTCCATCTTTGCCAGAGAGTGAATTGTATGTCATTATTCTTTATTTCAAACTTTTTTCCACTCCTCTTGAAAGTTAATGATTTTAAACAGTTATATCTTTTCATACATTAAATTCAGCTTTAAAGTGAGCCAGAATTAGGTATCCTTCATATATTAATTGAATATTAATGAGCCACAATAGTGGTTTGATAAGAAGAAATTCTTTGTATGATCATTTACATATTGCCACAGAAAGAAATTTCACTTGTCACTGAAGCCAACTTTTCCACCTTCAAATGCAAATTATGATATTTTTCTTTTCATCTTCATTTCGGTTTGTTTCTTCCAGGTACGAATGGCTAATTTAATGAGGGTTTTAGGAACTGAAGCTGTCTTAGATCCAACTAAGATGGAGAAGCACGTGCGTGAACAGATGGCTAAAAGACTTAAAGCCCACCAGGATGCTAATGCTGCCCGAAAACTCACACCTGAACAACTAAGAGACAAAAAAGTTCGTAAAGTCAAGGAGGACACATCAACAGGGGTTCATGTCACAGTGTATAAGTGAGTTTTTGGTATTACTGTTTTAAAAATGTATTATTTTTGGCTTGTTAGGAATGTATGTCCACCCACTGTAAGAGTTATCCTTAATTGTGATTTTTTTCTCCCACAGAGTTACAGATTTCTCCAATGGTTCACACAAGTTCAAGGTTGAAACAAATGCAAAGCAACTCTTCCTGACTGGCACTGTAGTACTGTTCAAGGATATTAATGTTGTGGTAGTTGAGGGAGGCCCAAAACAGCAGAAGAAATATAAACGGTAAGTAAATATGAAAGTTGAAATGCATGGAATGATATTACGGGAAAAATAAGATGCTATGGAAATTCATGTCGGTAAAGAATGAAAAGATATCCTTACCTGTATCATGTGCAGTATAAAATTTTCCAGATTAATGATGGAACGTATCAAATGGGCAGAAGAATCACGGTCCAAAGATGCAGATATAGAATCAAAATGTCAGCTAGTTTGGGAAGGAACTACATCAGAAAGAAGCTTTGGTGAGGTGAGTAATAATGTACTGTACTGTACTACAGGTGCACCACCGATTTTCTGGGAACTGATGGTCCGGAACCTTCTCTAGTCCGGACAAAATTACGAGAGGGCAACTCCCTCCCTCTCAGCCAGGTGGAAGGTAGTTTTAGGCTTAAAGTTTTTATCTTATAAAATGTCACAGACTAAGCTTAGCAGAATATAACTTGCATTGCAGGAATCCTTGTAAGATTGTGATTAATTTGAGTATAAACACCACATAGTTTGCACAAGAGATAAAAACTTCAGTCCTTTAGTGTACAGTAGTCCTGTACATTTGAGTATATGTTTTTCAACTCGTATTTTTGGGTAGATATACGTAACCGGATAAGTCTGTATAATTAATCCCAGTGGTCAAGATATTATGGCATTGAATATTAGAGTATTTCAAATAAATTCTTCGTTTAGTTCTGTAAATACGTACCTGTACAGTGGTCCCTCGGTTAACGAGCGCCTCGGTTAACGAGATTTCGGTTAACGAGTTACCTTCCATAAGATTCTTAACTTCGGTTAACGAGCAATCCCTCGATTAACGAGTTTCTTATGAGCAGACCTCCACATGTTTTAGCTTGCATTTGGCGGTCCACCAGCTGTAGTATTAGTCCGCCAATACAGTAATTGGTTCTAGGGCTTAAATTCCTTACCCTTTTAGTAAATATCAAGAAGTTTATACTATTCAATAATTTTAAAAGTTTAGTATTAAATTTTTTAGTCATTTTAACAATTATTGAACATAATTGAAGGTAGGGTCACTAGTTTGTGGCACGCCATCCAGCCTGCCAACACAGCATACTGGCGTCAGTCTTTGTGTCTTTTCAGTGGAGGTAACATCTTGCTTGAGACTCTCTTCAACTAAACTCTTTCTTTCTGTGTTTACAAGCAAATTATTGGTCATTTGAAATTTATTTTACACATTGGCAATATATAATGCAGTGCAGTGTTGATTTAAAGAAAATAATCTTGAATTACACCAAGAGAACTAAAACTTTATGGGGGAAATGGCGCCATGGGGTGACTTCTCTTCCACCCCAATGCCTTCTCTTCTCCCTTCTCCTCCACCCCCATTCTAATTCCCATCATCATCTTCATCATCTAGGAGCCTTCTACATACACACCTCAAAGTAAGTGTACTTTTTTACCTTTTTTGTTGAATTTAGGCAATTTTCGGTGAGCTGGAACCAATTACCCAAAACCCATTGAAACAATGGTTTCGGTTAACGAGTTTTTCAGTTAACGAGCAACCTTCTAGAACGGATTGTGCTCGTTAACCGAGGGACCACTGTATATGCGAATTGCCATATAGCACTAGCACTTTGTCATAAAGAGTTCCAGTAAGCCTGGGCTAGATTTATGCTGATATAAGCTGCATTGGTACTAGTAATAGTACATTTTATGTATTATTTTGCCTTTTTTTAACCTCGGCTTCGATGGTTCGGAATTTTTTGCAAATCCGGAACTGGTCTGGTCCCATGTTTCCCGGATTAGCGAGGTCTAACCTGTATTCTTATCTAATATGACAGCCCAAGCTATTCTGAAGCCAAATGTATGAAATTGATGCAAAAATAACTATGCTTCTCTGCATAAAGAGCACAACACAGTGGGAATGAAAACTAAGATTTCCCTAAAGAGGGTAAAGTCATCATTAACTTTATTATTTTTATTTTATTATTATGACAGTATTTGAGATACAGTATTTGAAGAGTGGTTCAGTAGAAGGTTTGGTACATGGCAGTTCTGTATACTAGAGTGAATTTTGGTATACTGTACTGTTTAATATTAAAGTATAAAAAATATATATACAGTATATGTAGTTAGAAATATCTATACAGCTGTTCCTTGACTTACAACAGGGTTAGGGACCCAAATCCAGGTCGTAAGTCGAAAATGCTTAAATAATACATAGAAAATCTAAAATGGGTATCTCTTTTTCTTCTCAGCACCAAAAAACTCTCACTTTTAAGCTTTCCAGCCATTTTAAAGTGAATTACAAACGAAAATTTTGTCAGTACACAGCGCAATCACTAACGTTGGGACTCGAAAATACGTAATTTTACAAAATTTTGGTACGACCGATGCGGTCGTGTGTCCAGGTGGTCGTAGGTCGAGTATGTCGTAAGTCGAGGAGTAGTTGTACTGTATTGCATACCAAATACATAATTACAAAAAAGTACTTGCTAGAAATGAAAGAGAGAAAGAGACACAATAGTATTCACTCAACCAGAACTGAAACACAACTGTCGCACAACAAAACAAACGCTCGTCTGAAATCCTACATTGCCACATTAAGAATTCTAAAACTCCAGGCATATTTTTATACATTGTATTTCGAAGTACAAGCGTCAATGACGCTTTTGTTTCACATACAGTAGGGTCGGGATATATCATGAGATAGGGTCCAACGATGTTTGCTATAAACTAAATCGCGATATATAATTACATGTAATCAATGGGGAAAATAGGGTTAGGTTCTGGAGGCCAATAAAAGTTTATTTTCTTATTAACTAAAGGACCAATGAACACTAGACTCGGGAACAACAGGCTGTTTCATTATCAAGGAACACCAGACTCGGCAGCTGACGCACCATCCCAGGAACACCAGACTCAGCAGCAGATGCCACACTGTCACCCTCACTTGACAATCCCTCACCTACATAAATGAACAAACCAAATATATTAGTCACAGTATTAAATCTTTTCCATTAAGCTTTCCATTCCCTTCACCTCACTTTTCACTTCACTAGCAACCCATTTACACTCACCTTAGAAATCATAATATGCAGCAGAATCGGCTGCTTTCTCATCATTCACTCAGAAAGACTGAGCGGGCAAGCGTGAATGCATGGGTGAGCAGCCACGGTGACGCCTCTGGTGAGCAAATAATGCATTTGTTTGCCACGGCAGTACATTTTAAATATTTCCTGCCTGATTTCCCTCACGAAATAAATAAATTTATTGCTATATATTGGAAAATGTTGATAATTTTGGGAGTCGCGATATAAAAAAAATCATTATAAAAAGTAGTGATATATCCCGACCCTACTGTACTACAATGTGAAAGGTTCCATTAGTTTCTAAGTCGCGCATAAAAAATAAAAATGTTCATGTGAAAGAATCCTTGTTTGGCAGTTTTTTCTCCTGTTTCTTTCTTTCCCAACTTAAGACAATTGTTTTAAGATCTAGTCACAGTCTTATATTAAAAAAAGTCTTTGCACAAGACTAAGAATGATTTGACAGGATTCTTCATGACCCATTATGCTTCAAAACAAAACAAGGGGATATTTTGTCCATTACATGTAGTAATTGTTAAATAGGTATTTTCTTTTATATATCTGAACAAGACTTCCTATTCCAGTAATTTATTTTATTCTCATAAATTTTCTTCCTCAGATGCTGTTTAAGGCATGTCCCACAGAATCCTTTGCAAGAGATCATTTTAAAAAGCATGGTGTAGAACAATACTGGGATTTAGCATATGGAAAGAAAATTCTTGAAGAAGCTGATAGTGGTAATTGAAATTGTGATAAATGGAAGAGCATAAGCAAGTGAACTAAGAAAAAAAAGAAGCTAATATGGTTATTGCCAAAACAGCAGCAAATTTTAACATTGAAATTGAGGTCTGCACAAATTGTTTTGGCTTAATTTTCAACATTACATAATGTTAGCAATACATTTTTCTACAGACATTCATATCTTCCCTATAGAGTACTGTAGTTACAATTAAAATACCAAAAATGTCATGACGACAATAAAAGTTAACATATGCAAAAAATTATCAGGTTATAGGTATTGCAAAATTAAGTTCTGTACTGTACTTCCAAGGTGATGACACTTATGATATGTATTGATAAAAGCATGGTGACAGTGTACATTCTTAGTGATTGTGGTGCGTGTCATAACAACATCTAAAGTTATTCACGGGCAGTGTGTGTGAGAGAACATTACTAAGAATGACTTTTCATCAATTATATTCATTGTTATCTGGTACACAAGACAAAGATATTGAATTTGAATAGTTTGTATTAAAATAATTTAACATCTTTTAATCAATTTTAGTTTCATTACCAATTCTGTAATATAGATTAGAATTATTTAGTTTTGGAAAACATGATCCAAGTCAACAACTTTTAGGTTGATTTGTGTTACCACAAATATGTGTGACACTGTAATGTATGGAAGTTGGTGTCATTTATAAAAAGGATGTTTGAAATAATTACAAACTACTGTATGAAATGTATTTGGTATTTTTATAATTGTGTACTTTAGTAAGCACAATGAGCATTTTGATAAAACTTATAGTTTTGCTACTACTATGAACACCAGATCATTTCTTCTTCCCCAAAAATTGTGAATTGGTATAAAATAAGGCTTTTTATTTTATGTAAGAGTTTTATACTGACTTGAGTGACTGAATATGTACATTATTTTGTTTTGTCATCAATAAGATTAAATTTAAATTGGTTCTGAATATTTTTGCTTTCACTGGAATATTGTAATTAACAGGTAAGTTTGCATTAGACATAACAGTGTTAAACTTAAGGATAATTAAATAAACTAGATGTCTCATTATGTCTCCCTAGGCCTATATTTACAAAGTTTATCATTATTTCTGGGCATCTAGTCAACAATATTTTTTTCAAGCATTGCTATGACATTAGGATTCATAAGTGTGAAGATACATTTTGGTTACAATAGAAAACTGATGATATCTGCAAGTTCTTAGCAATTATCCTCAATCATTGTTAGTGCAAGACGCTAGATGTGACCCAAGAGATATACAGTAGCCCTCTCTCTTATAATTACCTAGAGAGATTGTACAGTACTGTACTGGCAGTTCCAAAATTACAAACACCCATACTTACAGGTTTTTGTGATCCCGTTTGTAATTAAAATTTATATTTATATTACAGTACTGTATTGTACTGTAGTATATTGTTTAACATAACTTTACAGTATTTACATAATTTGCAATGTAAGGGATATTACTGTTATATTGTATGGGCTGGGTTGTGTTCTAATCAAACCTAACCTATGGAATTAACACTGTTCTGATATACGAACAGGGTCCAGGAATATAACCCATTCATTAATCTGGGACTGCATGTACTTTGGCAGATGATGCCTACATTATATATCCCCAAGCAGGGTGAATGAATTGTGTTTCACACTAGCTGCATTGTAAAATCTGAACATTATCAGACAATAACCCCCTAAAGTATACAAATCACCCCTATGTCCTCTCCAAACGTAAAAAAAAAAATTATTGGAAATAGTTATAGTGTGTGGAAATGCAGTGGACCGTCAAAGGTGGACCTCTTCACCTTTTCTGGCAACTCCCATATGAAATAAAAACAAAATCTTAGGTAATTTTTGGACTTATCCATAAGTACAGTACAATTTCTAGTATTAAATACTGGGTATAATAAAAAGAAAAACTAAGTCCCAATAGTGGACCAGTTCTCCCCACTACCATCCCATAATGGTAAGAAAATGATACATAGGAAAATGGGAAAAAAATATACAGTACTGTACTGTATAGTACAGGTATAATGCTGGTAAAAGAGCAGACGAGGTGGAGGGTAGCGAGGAGGGGTCAGGGAAAGGGGGGGGGGACGAGTGGAGGTCTATGCTGTCAAGAAATTACTTAGGGGCAATGGAGGAGGGCACCCTGGGAAGGCCTACTGGGAACACGATTGGTGAAGTTAGTATGTCTGGGGTGGGGTTACCTTGTGAATTTTGCCCAAAATTTAATTTTGTATGGTACTTTGAGCTTTTTCAAAATTATATAGGTGCTTAACATGCTGATTAAGGATCTTGGGTAAAATTAAGTTGTAATTTGGGTAATTACAGTACCTGTAGTGTACTGTACTTATTAGTTTTACATCCCTAAGTACTTGCCATCTGTAATTATCTGCTGGTAAGCTTGTTGTTCTGGATGTATTAATGTTAAATGCAGAAACTACAGGAGCCTGAAACATTTAGACCTGGTTGTGTAAAAATGATAAATGGATATGGAAGAGAGTGGGCAGTTTCAAGGCCACCTAGATAGGGAAGTTCTGGGTGGGGTTTGATTTACGTCACTAGAGAAAGTGGCTACCATGCTTGCTTGCTTTCCCTTTACTTAACTTCTACTTCATAATAGTTTTATTACCTTCAGTTTACCACTACTTTGTTACCTTCTTTCTACCACTACTTCATTATCTTTATTTACTTCTACTACAACTAAATATTTTTGTTACTTCCCTTCTACCACTACAGTATTTCATTATAATATCCCTCCTACCACTTCGTTATCTGTATTAGTTCCCTGTAAACATAACTTGCATGTACTGTTGTTACGTTTTAAGTGCAGGAAAGTGGCTTTCTTACCGTAGAACTCGGATACCTTCACACTGGTAACTCACCCAAGAGATTATGGTGTATCACTACGTAGAATTTTGCTCTGCTTCCGGCACCCAATGCGTTATGTACTTGATAAATGATGATTTAGTGAATTCCACTAACTTCCAACATCCATCTAAGTTATTGGTTATACTTTGTCATAACCAATGAGTCATTACCCTTGGTAATAATGATAATAGAGGGATCACAGATACGGGCAGATGATTGCACTTACGCTTATTTGGCACAATTCCATACACTGGACTTATAATTTGCATGGATAGGTCAGTCACTCACATTCACGCCACAGTACCGTAAGTTATAAGGGAGAGTTTGTCAACCTGGTGAATTAATCGTTTAGATCTATTAGGCCGGCCTGGAGTGCTCTTGTAGCAAACAGGCCCTCACCATTGATCACTTCCTTTACAGGATGTGTTAACTTGTCGCTGGACTTAACAAAAAAATCTCGGGGATTTGCACACAGACCCGTAGCATTGGTAGGACTGTATGGCCCCTAATCTTAAGTCCGCGGAGCAGGAGGTCTTCTCTAGCCCAAGGTCTAAAGCCCACTGGCTAAATTGGTTTTTTTGAGGCGTGAAGTGATGAACAGTACACCACTGTCTCACTGGCCTGCCCCCCCCTACATGTCCCAGTCATGGCTGGCCGGTTACCTTATCTCTACCGTAAACAAACATTTGGGATGGGTTGTGCGGGAGGCCCAACGCAACCCATGACAATCGCCCCTACTAAGAACAATTTTTCTCTTGGAGAATAAATTTTCACCACCTGTATACAATCAAGAGAATGCCTAGCCCAGACACACAATTCGACATTCACACTGTGGTGTGTGTGTAACACTAACACTGCAACGGATTGTAGTCACCAATCGCCACTGAGGGAAAACCTCAACATTTACTTTATTTTTTTTGGGCTGGAGGAAAACTCCGCGGCGAGGGTGACAATTCCCGAGCAATAGTTCATGCTAAGCGTAAGCACGCTACATTTACATTAGAGCAACGTGTTGTGTGGTGTAGGGTATGTAGACATTGTTTAGGTGGCACAGGTGTTGTGTTATGTTCTCAAGTGTAGAAAGGTGTGAGAAAATTATACATAACATATGACGAGCCGCCAGACGCTTGGAGGCTCGAGTCGACTGGAGTCTAGACCAACTCCACACTCATTTGGGAAGGTGACCTCTCAATCAGTTGCTCAGGTTCCCCCACAAGTCGAGATAGGAGGTCAGCCCCCACATTCAGGCTGCCCTTGATGTACCGGAGGACGAAGTTGAACTGCTGGAGATACAGTGCCCACCGCATCAGACGAGCATTTGCATTCTTAGATGGTCGGAGACTGGTGAGCGGCATGTGGTCTGTCTCCAACACAAACTCACCTCCGTAGAGATAGTAGTAGTACTTCTTGATGCCTTCCACCACTGCCAGAAGTTCCTTCTCGACCGTGCTGTAATTCCTCTCTGCAGGTTTCAACTTGCGACTGTGATACGCAACTGGAAAAACCTCGCCTTCTGCCTCTTGTAGTAGCACTGCGCCAACCCCATCCTGTGAAGCATCGGTCCGGAGGATGAAAGGCTCTTCCTTCCTCACCAGTTGAAGGATGGGTTGCTTGCATAGCAGGTTCTTGAGGGCACTGAAAGAATCCTCTTGTTCAGGTCCCCATTGCACCTTGTTAGAGGCATGTTTCTTGAGCAGGTCGGATAAAGGGAGAGCCACCACGGCAAAGTTTGGGATGAAGTTCCGGTAGTACCCTACGAGGCCCAGAAATGACCTCACTTGTGTTTTTGTAGTGGGCCGTGGGGCATCTTGGACCTTTTTGATCTTCTCATTCTGACAGGTGTAGCGTCCTCCGCCGACAGTGTGCCCGAGGAACTGTACTCTAGCCTGACCGATCTCGCACTTGCTTGGTTTCACGGTCATGTTTTTTTGTTGGAACCTCCGGAACACCTCCTCTAAGAGTTCCAGGTGTTCCTCAAACGTTGCTGAATGGATTAACACATCGTCCACAAATGCCTCAACTCCCTTGATGCCGTTTAGGACTTGCCTCATGACACGGTTGAAGATGGCAGGGGAGTTTGTGAGGCCAAAGGGAAGGACTCTGTACTGATAGAGACCCCCTGGCGTACCAAAGGCTGTGATCTGCCGACTCTTCGGGTCCAATGGGATTTGGAAGAACCCCTTGGTCAGATCAAGTTTGGTAAATAACTTGGAACCAGCTATTCTTGAAAAAATAGTTTTCTGATCACACATAGGTTCAGCATCCACCTGGGTAATGGCATTTACTCTCCTATAATCCCCACAGATCCTGACACCCCCATCTTTTTTTCGGACGACTACCATTGGACTACAGTATGGAGACGATGATTTCTCGATGATTCCTACTGCTTCCATTTCCTCAATTTCTTGTTTGACAGTGTCCAGTAGTCGCATAGGTATAGGATAGGGCTTTACCCGAACAGGTGTAGGGCTGGTCAGTTCAATAGTGTGACAGTCAACCCGGGCAACTCCTGGCTTAACAGAGAAGATGTCCTTGTAGCGATGCAACAGAGAGCCAATGGCATCTCGTTCCTCTGCTGATAGATTTCCATTCACCTCAACGTCCGTGAAAGTCTCACTCTGGCGGGAGCATGCAGTGACAGGCCCATCCTCCTCATCACTGTCAGAGATCACTGTGGCAGCACAAGTTACCCCTGAATCACACTGGGAAGGCTCGCCCCTGTCTTCCTCAGTGGAGACTGTACCCCCGATCGGTGACTGGAAGTACTTCTTCAGCATGTTGATGTGGAACTTCTTTCGTCGAGGTCCCACCTGGACGATGTAAGTCAGATCCGAGACACGCTCTGCAATGTTGAATGGACCTTTCCACTGAGCCAGTAACTTATTGCGCATCGTAGGCAACAGAACCAGGCACTGATCACCTGGCTTGAAACAACGAAGCTTGGCCTTCTTGTCATAGTAAGTCTTCTGGACCTCTTGAGCCTTTATCAGCTCTTGCTTTGCCAGTTGGCAGGTTTCTTGGAGACGATCAGCTAAGTCAATGACATATGTATAAGTGGTCTTGACTTACGGATCTGATTCCTCATCATCCCACAGTTCCCGAAGAACCTGTAGTGGTCCCCGGACGGACCTGCCGTACATAAGCTCGAAGGGAGACACCTTGAGCGAGCTCTGTGG